CTAAAATGCAATAAAAATCTCAATTTTGCTAAAAAATTCCCGGAACCTGATTTTCCTAGCAATCAACCCATATAATAAAAATAAATGCATTTAAATTATTTGATCATAGTGTATTTAGGTTATTTAATCATATAATTACAAATAATAAATAGGAAAAGGTAAAAAAAAAGCGATTTCAAAGCAAGGAATATAAAAAAAAAAATAAGAAAGTATAAAAAATCATCATATTTAAATTAATTAATTAGATTATTTATATATATTTAGGTTATTAATTTTAGATTATTGAATTATATTTAAATTATTTAGTTATATCTAGTTTATTCATTATATTTAGTTTATTTAGTTATATTTAGTTTTATTAAGTTATATTTAGATTATTTAGTTATATTTAGATATTTTATTATTAAATAATCTGATTATGATTAAATAATATAATTATATTATTTAATTATAATTGTTTAATTAATTTAAAAATTAATAATATTTATAAGATTATTAAATTGAATTTAAACTATTTTCTACTATTTTTGAGTTTTATAGGAAACATGAGCATTTTAGCATCTTATTCATTTCTTTAAGTATAGCATTTAACCCTTGATGTTAATTTAATTATTTTGTTTATAATATAATTACATTTTGTTCAATGAGTTGATAAATCTTGTAATGTATTTAAAGTACGATAATAACATTATTTCTTAAGTACAATAAAACTATCATATCTAAGAAATAATAAAATCATCATTCTTTAAGTATAATAAATGCATTATAATTAAGAAATAATAAAATTATCATTTCTTAAACACAATAAATGCATTGTAGCTAAATTTTTAAAATTTAATTTTAAAATTTTTAAATAAGTTTATTATATTTTAATAAATATTTTATTAATACATTATTATTAAAAAATAAAAATATATTGTTAATAAAACAAAACCTTTTTTTAGAATTAATAAATTTATTAGAATTTTTGTATTATTTAATATTTTTAAAATAACTTATTATTTAATTATTACAAAAAATAAAATTTAATTTATTGGATTCATCATCTTATTAAGATTTATTAAATAATTATATTCTTTATATTTTTGAGATTAATAGATAATAAGATATATAAGTTTAAAAATTTATAATAATTTATTATAGATTTATTTTAAAATATCACTAATTAATTATATATTTTTTGAAGTTTACTTAAAAAATATTATAAATTTATTATAAAAATATTAATTTTTAAATAAGTTATTTTAAAAATATTTTAATTATTAAATAAAATTGTTGTCTGTAATATACTTAAAGAAATAAATTAATTGATTTATTTTAATTAAATTTAATAAAATATTTAAATTAATTTGATTAAATTAAATATTTAATTGTATATTATAAAAATTGTTTTTTTTTTATATAAATTTAATACTTGAATAAATTAATAATTATTTTATTTTAAATTTAAGATTATATTTTATTTTAAATCTTTATTAAACTAAATAGATTGTAACATTATTATATATTAGAATATTAAAAAATTGGGTTGTATAAATTTCAATATATATATCACGTGACACTTATTATAATAACCAATATAATTTAGTCTTAACTTCTACCAGATTTTTTAAAAAACCATACATAGTAATTTCATAGGTAATAAATAGCATGGGAAAATTTATCAGTGCTTACGAAAAGGTCATGAGTCATTTATTATTTATCCAGAGTATATTTATAATAACATTGGGAAAGATGATATCATGATCCTTCAAAGAAAACCATTCTTGGGTTGATGTTCAAACACACTTAAAATTTTTATTTATGATCGGGCTGTCTAATTTTTCCACAAAAGGTATACGTCTCTTGTAAATTGTCACGAGTATGAGAATAAAATCAAATGCAGGGATCTTTTTTTTTTTTCAAAATTGAATTAAAACCATAAAACACAATACTCTTTTAGGAAATTAAAATGTTGGTCCTGATAAATAAACCTATAGACTTACGCCCAACTTTTAAAAGTCACACCCATAAACAAAGAATGTCAACTTTTTTAAGAAAAAGTTTATTCTCACCCTATTCTTCTATTGTAACTGCTACATATGCCTCCCCCCAAAAACCTGTTTAAAGTTTATTTAGGTTGTTATTGGATTTTATTACCAGGTATGGAAAGATTAAAAAAAATAATTCACACAATAGTATTCAAGTTTATATTATCCATAATATAAATTCAGTCTGATAGCGATAAGGTTTAAAGATAGTTCACAATTGTTTTACTTGAACTTTTCATACTTTTATCTTTTTCTTTTTTTTTGGGTAATTTAAAAAAAAAAAAAATCTTTTATTACGATTTGCTTAAGATGGAATTGATGGAATTCCTATCGTCAGATAGCGAAGACTCGGATAAAGGTTCAATGGTTATAGTCAGGCCAGAAGACGTAACCAATGTTGTTCCCACTTATGATGAAAAAGTAAATGAGAATCAATACCTGAAAAAATCATCTAATATTGGTGAAGCTAAACAAGTTTCTTTTGGAGAAAAAGTATTTGATAGGGCCAACTTGGACAAATCAATGATTATTGGTGGAGAAAAAGAAAGTGTTCATTATATTAGTCCAATGACTAGGGATAATTTTGAGGACAATAGAAATTTGACAGAACTAGCTCCCCATAAAAACCCTTTGTTCAAGGATAAACAAAATCGCGAAGTCATTGATAAAAGAAATTCCTTACCTGAATTTAATCAACCTATTACAGGTGATTTAAGCGAAGATAACAAATTCCATAATCAGAGATTTTCATATGATGTTAATAGACAGATACCTTCCACAGATCCTGGTCATTTAATGAGTTCTTTTTCACAATCGCATGATACAAAGAATAGTTTAGAATTGAAAGGTAACTCAAAAAAACCATCTAAACCCGTTACAAATGAAGAATTTGATGAACTTCTTAGAATACCGATCCAAACAACCCGTAAGAAAAAGAAAAAATTTTTCAATGATGACGATGACGACGATGACGATGATGATGATAACGGTAATCAGAGCGATGTTAATAAAAATAAGCAAGACACTCGTCGGGATACCGGATTCGGTTTAAGATCTCAAGACAACCTTTTACCTTCACAATATATTAATCCGAAGCAAGATAACTCGGTTGACGACACACATCGTGACGTTAGATATGGGTTGAGTTCTCAAGTTAACCTTCAAAGCAATACAAATAAGCAAGAAACTCGTCGGGACACCGGGTTAGGATTAGGAACTCGAGACAACCTTTTACATTCACAATATATTAATCCGAAGCAAGATAACTTGGTTGATGACACACATCGTGACGTTAGATATGGGTTGAGTCCTCAAGTTAATCTTCAAGGCAATAAAAATAAGCAAGAAATTCTTCGGGACACCGGGTTTGGATTAGGATCTCAAGACAACCTTTTACATTCGCAATATATTAGTCCGAAGCAAGATAACTTGATTGATGACACCCATCGTGAGATTAAATATGGGTTGAATCCTCAAGATAACCTTCAAAGCAATGCAAACAAGCTAGACACTCGTCGGGACACCGGATTAGGGTTCGGATCTCAAGACAACCTTTTACATTCACAATATATTAGTCCGAAACAAGATAACTTGGTTGATGACACACATCGTGACGTTAGATATGGGTTGAGTCCTCAAGTTAACCTTCAAGGCAATAAAAATAAGCAAGAAACTCGTCGGGACACCGGATTTGGATTAGGATCTCAAGACAACCTTTTACATTCACAATATATAAATCCGAAGCAAGATAACTCGGTTGACGACACACATCGTGACGTTAGATATGGGTTGAATCCTCAAGTTAACCTTCAAAGCAATAAAAATAAGCAAGAAATTCGTCGGGACACCGGGTTTGGATTAGGATCTCAAGAAAACCTTTTACATTCACAATATATTAGTCCGAAAAAAGATAACTTGGTTGATGACACACATCGTGACGTTAGATATGTGAGTCCTCAAGTTAATATTCAAGGCAATAAAAATAAGCAAGAAATTCTTCGGGACACCGGATTTGGATTAGGATCTCAAGACAACCTTTTACATTCACAATATATTAATCCGAAGCAAGATAACTTGGATCATGACATTAGATATGGGTTGAATCCTCAAGATAACTTTCAAAGCAATAAAAATAAGCGAGATTCTTTGACTGATGATACTCATCGAGGGTTAGGATCTCAAGATAACATTCCATATGCACAGCGTAATGAACAATACTTATCTGATGATACTCTTCAAGGTTTTGGGTATGGATTAGGAGGATCTCAAGGGTTTCAACGCAATAACAGTAAGCAAGATTACTTATCTGATGTCACGCGTCGAGATATCGGACATGGATTAGGACCTCAAGGAAACATTTCATATACACAGCGTAAGGAACAAAACGTATCTGATGATACTCGTCAAGATCTTGGGTATGGATTAGGAGGATCTCAAGGGCTTCAACGCAATAACAGTAAGCAAGATAACTTATCTGATGTCACGCGACGAGATATCGGACATGGATTAGGACCTCAAGGAAACATTCCATATACGCATCGTAAGGAACAAAACGTATCTGATGATACTCGTCAAGATCTTGGGTATGGATTAGGAGGATCTCAAGGGCTTCAACG